AGGCTCCCAAGTCACCACAGCAAGCAAGGGCACCCATATGTTGGAAGGTACAGAACTCTGGAGGAAGTTGCACTTTTTTTCAAAATATTATCATTTAAAAAACTAAATGTAATACAGGAAACCAGTATTAAAGGAGATTACAACTTTGATTTAAAAAAAAGAAAAATTAAAAGTTATTTTTTCCCTTTCAACGTTTCCTTCTTTACTCTCCCAGTTGTATCCTATGTCCCAAATACTTTCACTTGGCAAGAGCTCTCATTATCGTAAATGGGAGGTCTAACTAGGCACTGGAGGGAAAACTGGACTCTAATATTACATGCACCATTTCCTACATGGGAGCATATAACCATGCACTGCATAATGTCATACTCTTCTAATACTCTTGTAATGGCCTGTCCAAACTGCCTTATCTCCATTTTCTTTTTTGCCATCAAACTATTAAGATATTTTGGCCTAACATGAAAATTCAAACATCCTATGTCAGGCACATGTTAATGACAACCTAGGTTTGTTTGACTAGTAGCTGTTAACTACATATATGGAAGTTTTCATATTACTAAAAATATTTTGACTGTTTACAAACATGCTTTCCAAATATCAAGAGCAATTAGCCTATTTGAGAGATGTATAATAGTACTTTTTAAAATAAAGTTTGGCAAAAAAAAATGTCAATTAGTACGTCTCTATTTTTCTACATGAAGAATGGATTTACACCCAAGTCAAAAGTTGGAAGCTGCTAAGCAAGAGCACCATAACAATCTCTTATGCTGTTTCAGCCCTGTTATTTGAAAGTGCCAAGTTAGAAACCTTATACAAAGTTTATCATAAAAAGTGTGACAGATTTAACAATAGAGAAGGGGGAAAAAAATGTAAGTACAACAAGGTACAAACATTTGGGTACATATTAGGATTTTCTCTTTTGCGATTTTCCAGGAAGACTGATGTTCGTATACCCAAGCAGAGAAATCCAACTTTGTATTAACGCACAACCTCAAAAGAATAATGTCCATACCTAGTTTTGAACATGCATGCATTTCACTCTTAGTCCTATACAGGACCCAGGAGTGCCAAATGCTGATCATCCTCACCACTAAGAGAAGGCAGCAAGAATTGACAGTGCATGGCACCTTACCAGGTTGCTCAGCACTTTGCAGGAGCACTCCACCACTAAAGGTCCGAGCCAAAATCCATTGATATCAATGGGTTTCTTCAAATCAATTTTACCATGGGCTTCAAAGAGTTTCTGACCAGCATTTTTAGAAACAAGATAAAAATTCTGAATGTGTAATTAGCATATAATCAACTCACAAAGGATTTTAGACCTGGTTGCTCATTATTAGCCAAGAAGAACATTTCTCTCCTGCTGGCCATACAAACGATAGTCAAAAAATTTTGCAATGGGATTGCATACAGAATGTAAAATAAGCCTTGTACACTGACTGCTACAGGATCAAATGAATACTGTTTTGTGCTTGTAGTATAAAGTCATAGAGTAGAATATCTTATTTCACACAGTACCCCAAGGCTCTAAAACAAATATAGCATCATCTTTATTCTATTTTTCTGTGTTTTGGGCCAAGTTTTCAAAAGTGCAATATCCTTTCATGCTCTGCCCCCTTCCCTTTACTTATGTAAAACCTGGATTTATATGCTAAATTTGAGTACAATGAAAAACACAGACTGCTTCACTCAAATATACAGACCCCTTATACATTTTTAGGGATGCATAAAATTGTTCAAATACAGATTTATGTAATGGTAAGCAATGTCCAGTTTGCTTTTTCTTTATTGTCAGAGCAGTTGATAAAACAGTTATAGTACACTTAGAAGCAGAAAATGCTATGTTTTAATTTTGAGGGCCTAATCCTATCCTATAGAAGTCTTCAAGAGATTTGCCCCTGACTGCAAGGGTTCGAGTCAGACTCTAGCTTCAGCAGTAAACCTTGCAGCTAACTTCCTTACCTCACAGTTATGTCAAATGATATAAAAACAGAGAAGGGTGGAGGAGGAGGAAGGAAAAAAAAAAAAAAAAAAGCATTGACAGCATTTTTGTGCCCAGAAATATTCACTAAAATTATTATAAACAGGCAGGATTAGAAGAGCATTTTGACTGAATGAAGACCCTGATCCAGTCCTCATTCAAGTCAATAAGCGGACCCCTAAGTCACTAGCGGTCCTCTATCCAACTTATTATGGCTTCTGACCAAGTTGTGGAGAGCTGAAATTCTTTGTGCAAGAGATGCCAACCAGCTCAGATTTAAAGGTGCAACTGACTTCATTTCTTTATAGACAATGTGACAACATTTTCAGGTGGATTTAAACATATATTTTTGGATATAAACTACTGGTAGATATACCATTGTGCTTGCACAAAAACCTGCATCTGTATCTGCAAATGAGCATGAACATATACATTTGATGGCTTCATAAAGAAACATGCCAGATACATGAGATATGTACCTTGTTTTTAGGAAGGCAAGATGAAGGGGGAAAAAAAAAAGAAAATATTTTTACAGAGTTATGGTTGCACACAGCAGAGACGGAGCTTAATCTGCAGCTCGCTCGCTCACTCGCTCTTTTCCGCTCAGGCAAAAGATACCGTTTTAACCCTTTTGCAGCTTAACAGTCAGCAGCTCTTGGTTGCTCAGCCAAAAGCTGAAAGTGAAGTTGCTGCTGAAGACTGGACTCCATAGGTGCCTATACACATACTGTGATGCTTTCTAATTAGAACACGTCAGAGCAGGCTTGATTAATCTAATTAGCATGCTCCAGCATGCTGCAGGATCATGTGCATTCAACATCCTGCATTTCAAAATGATGGCAGGGGCACTTTAACTAAAACTGGGTCAAACAAGCTTTAGTTACAGCACCCCCCACGGCCATTTTGAAACATGGGAAGCTGAATACACGTGATGCCCAGGTGTTTATTAGAGCAGCTGTCTGGGAGCCGCTCTAATTAAAATACCCCCCCCACCCCATAGCACATGTATAGATACCCCATGAGTGGATCTAAGATTTTGAAAAGAGTTAAAACATTTAGACTTTAGGGCTATGAAATAGAAGAAAGACCAGGAGTGGCTCAATTGCAAATCCTTCAGCAAAATTGCTGAAGAAAGACTAGCTTGATTAGAACATGAAGACCATTAAAAGGAGAGTGGGGTATTAATCCCTGTTGAATGAAAAATAATTAGCAGGAATCAAGTAGTTTCTAATGAACCATAAAAAGTCAATTGATGCCCTCAGTGCTGCCCCAGCAGATGTGCCATTGTTGCTATTCTGAAAGAAAAACCAGTTTCCCCATATAAGACATGAACCCCAATTTTGGAAGACTCATTTTGGGAAGGAGCACACATACTATACTAGTATATGCAATACTTTTTAAGGGAGTTTTCAAAAAGCCCATTACTGAGAAGACTAAACAAACATTTATGTTTTTCAAAAATGCATCTTTTACTTAACTGTTTAAATGTTAATTAGAAATCTCCCTAGTTAAACAACACCCACAAATTAAGAGGCATTGTGAAATGTAGTGCACTGGCAATAAGCCAGAACTCCTGCCTGAAGAGCAGGTTAGCTCACAAACAAATGTCCTGTTGTAAGTCATTAATTATTTCTATCTGCAATGACTTGAGGGAGAGACAAGCAGATGAAGAGCATAAGCCAGGCATGTAATTCACTATAGCCTTGATCCTAGAGACAGATCCACATAGATGAACCCATATACACTAGGGTGATGTTCCACTGAAGTCAGTGGGGTTTTGTTCAGGCGTCCCTTGCAGAGTAAAGGCTTATAAGCATAATCCACGGTCATTTACTTGAGCAAAGCTCCTACCATTAGGATACCCTACCACAAATCTGAGCAAGAAAAGCAGCAAAATGAACTCCTTCATTATATTACTTAGCCTAACAATTTAGAGTCTACCTGTTATAGGCATAGACTATAGAACATAAAATAAATTAAATAAAGCTGGTTCCACTGAGGCTGCTTTAAAAAGTCTACAAAATTTTAAGAGAGATTTTTTAATATTCTACAAATTGAACAGCAGGAACAGATTTATTTTTAAATGGAGTCTATAGAAGTCTTAAATCAAGTTAAATACAGGTAAATAAACTGCTGTATTCTACTAAATTCTACAGGACTTGGTGATGCTTCCTTCCTATCAAAACACCAAAGTCTCAGTTCAGGAAGATAACTTAAGCAAATACTTCTCTCTAAAAACCATAAGTAATCTAAGTGAAATTAACTGGCTTACTCACCTGCTTAATTTAGGTGAATAACCCTGTATTTTTTCTGAATTATGGCCCTAAAGGGTAGGGAAAATATTTAAGATATTCTCTAATTTAATTCCTTATAATTGAATAAATGCAAATTAAAGATTCTGGAATGCTGGAGGTGCCTAGGCCCACACAACAGCCCTGAGGAAGATCTCAGAAATAATTCCTGCT